GCGGATCACACAGGAAGAAGCACCCAGAGGGGCACAGCAGGATGGTACCTCAGCCTTCTGAACCAAGTTCCAGGCCACCCTCTCTGAGGCCCTGCCCCCAGCCATTGTCCTCAGAGCCTGTTCTCTTCTGTGTGTTCTGCTTGTCTGCTTTTGGGTCAGGGTCCTTGTGGGTCCCCAACTGAGTTTCCATAGTGCTTGGCTTGAAGTAGGTGTCAGGACCGGGCAAGGCCACAGCAGCAGTGCCCGCCCTCCTGTTTGGTCGAGAACAGTCCTGTCCTGGGTGCCAGTGCATAGGAGCTGCTTTCCCTAACCCACTCTCTAACCCCGAGCTCCCCGAGGCAGTCAGGCTTGGGCAGGTGGCCTTGAGGAGAGGGTGGTACTGGCGGAGGGGATGGGGAGGGAATGTGCCTTCCCAAGTCACCACTGTCTTTAGGAAAATCTGACATCATTAAGCTTTCCCTTTTTTATGCACCGAAACTATCTTATGAGGGGTGGGGATGTAGCTCAGTGGCAGCACACTTGCCTAGCATGTGCAAGGCCCTGGGTTCAATCCCTAGTACTGAAAACAAGAACCGAAACTTTATGCTAGGTGTTGTGGTGCATGTCTGTAATTCCAGCACTCTGGGAGGCTGAGGCAGGAGGATTTCATGTTCGAGCCTGAGCAATTTAGTGAGACCCTGTCTCAAAACAAAATAAAGGGCTGGGGATGTAGTTCTCTGCAGAGGTTCAACCAAAACCCAAACCCAAACCCAGCAAAAAACAGAACAAAACAAAACAAAAACTCATTTACGTTATCCTCTGGTGTCCCATAATCCCAACAGGACTACCTGAGCAGAGGCACAAGTGGCGGGGGGGGGAGGGGAGAGGGATAGTGAAAAGGCAGAGAAGGCAGACTACAGTTTCTAATTATACAAAAATCTAAATAACTACACGTGGAGGTGGCTCAGCCACTAGATGGCGCTAGAATTAGTTATTTGGGACAAAAAGCTAGATACTTAACCGCCTTCATTATTTCCATCAAAATCTATCTCAGATGGTTTGGATTTAAATTTTTAAAAACTAAGACAAGGAAAGTACTCAAAAAATTTCTATAACATTGAGGTGAGAAAGCCTTTAAAAAACAAGACACATGAATCAGAAGCCATAAAGCAAAGATTTGGTAAGATTCTCTATTTCTTCAAATGATTCTTGAATACTTGCTATGTTCTATATACGAGACATTATCACAAAGGTAAAAAACAAAAGGCAAACTAGGGGAGAAGACATGAAATGTGCACCAGCACAAAGGTAAATATCCTTAATATACAAAGAGCATCTACAAATCAACAAGAAAATGATTTACCCTCTGACAGAAAGGACATACAAATCAGTGACTTACAAAAGAATAAACAGAAGTGGCTCATAACATATGAGAAGATATTTAGTAGATGAGCAAATAAAGGAGCAAAAACGAGAGAAAAATAGTCCCATTTTTTCTGACCACTGATCATGGGTTTGTGGCCAATACGTCACTACAGCATATTTTCTTCCCAAGTTTTCTTCCTTGTCCTCAGGTCTAAAGAGCAGTGCCAATAAGCTACATCCCCTGAGCACCCAGAAGCCCAGTGTCCGGCAGGGGCTCAGTAAGTTTCAATATGGCCACACGAGAGACTGTTAGCCAAGACAAACCAAAGTCCCTAGGACCTGTGACCTCCCAGGGAAGTAAGGATGCTCTCGTGGCTCAGGGATGCAGGACACAAAGCGCTCCAGGCAGAGTCAGCAGCTGTTTGGGAAAAGGACACAGTGAAAAGACCAGGGGCAAAAGCCTCAGTAAATTGTTTTTCTAGTGGATTACTTTCTTCTAATATTTCTGTGTATGTGTATATATATTTTGGTATTGGGGATTGAACTTGGGACCTTGAGCTTGCGCGTATTCGAGTATTTCTGGTTATTCTGAGGTTGACAGTGTGTATCTGCTACTTTTATAATTGGGGAGACAAATATGGAAACCCTAAACATGGTAAAGCACTTTTGCTGCTCCACAGACTCAGGAACCCTCTTGCCTGCATTCCCCCCGCATCCCTGACAGTTGGCAGAACCTCATGTAGTTCACGGCAGGTGCCTGTACCTCTTAGGTCCTGATGTCATCGGGCTCTGGGTTATTCAACCCTGCTAAATGCGATCGGGCGCAAAGTACTGAATCCTTGCGTTGACTGATGAGCAGGTCCGATCATTACCCCTCTTCTAAAGCCGAGAGTTCAGAGAGGTTAAGATCCCTGGCCTAGGCCACACAGCTCAGAACACTAAGCCGAGTGTCCCACTCAGTAGTGCCCGATGCTGCAGTGTGCCCACGCAACCACCCTGCTGGCTGCCTTGACTCCCCAAAGAAGGAGCAGGGCTGGAAACACCTGCCAGAAATCGTACAATCCTGCATCAGATCTCACACCAAAGAAAAGCAGAAAAAACCCATTTTGGGGCACTCACCTCTCGCTTCTCATCTCCTCAGCAGTGTTCCTCTGCCTGCCCTCTCACTTGCTCTTTCTTTGTCTTTTCCTTTTTTCTCCCTGTCTTTTAACTAATCACTCAGTTAACAAGTTAGCGTTCTGAAGCTCGGGTCGGTACCTAGTGACTCTATGTGCGCGATAAAGAAATCAGCCGTCACCAATACAGAAGTCAGAGGGGTTTAAATCAAATCTTCCTCCACAACAATGACATTAATTATGCTTTTAACACGTTTTACTGCTTTTTTTCTCACTTCACGCCACATCTGTGTGAACAATATCCAAAAGATTTACGGTTTTCTTTCGTAATTACAGACATACAGGCTGCACACTTATCAAAATACTTGCTGAGCAATCAGGCTATATCCCATTCTCTGCCAAAGATTTGTGTTGGCAGCAGTCATTCAAAACAAAAATGTTGAATCAGGACTTGTGTGTGGCTTTGGGGGTGTGTGTGGGGGGAGAATTTCAACAAATAATTTTCCTGTCAAGAAATACACTAACAGGGGCACGCATATCCCATCCTTGCCCGTTTTTCAGGCGTGGTATTTTTAGGGTGGGGGTTGGGGCGGCAGGGGGCGGGGGGCAGCAAGCAGGGCTGCTCTGAGCACCAAAAACGCATCTGACATTTGGTTCTTGTGTCTGAGGATAAAATTTAATGAGAACAAAAATATGTCTTCCTAATTCCCCTAAGAAATCATTAAAACATTTTGTTATTCTTAAATGTCTCGAAAATGAATTAGAGCCCCTAAAGGGGCTGTTTGTGTGGTACGTCTCCATCAGTTAAGGCTCCTCATTCTCTAACTCGGTGACAGCTGGGGACATCCCCCCGCCCCTCCATTTCTGGGGAGGAGAGCTGGGAAATCAGACACACAAGTCAGCACAGGCTTGGAGTGACCTCGGCGCTCCCAGGCTTTGGGGAGAGGGGAGAGGGCACCAGGGAAAGCTCCTCGCCAGTCTCTGGGGGTTCTCAGGGTCCTTGGCTGGCCCTGTGCCTGTGTTTCAGCATCCTGGAGTCCAAAAGGATGCAGTTTCCCTAGGGATCCTGCAATGAAGCCTCGCATCTGATGGGCTGTAGCCCTTCCCGCTGTTCCCTGTGTCTGTTGGCCCCTACACCCCAAGCTCTAAACTGCTGGCATGGCCCTGGGTTTGTGATGGCAGCTTAGGTGAGCTATGGTCTGGTCATCTATGTCCTCCGTCACCAGAACATGAACTTCTGAGCACTGGCCTCCTGTTCCCCGGTCAGGAGATGGGAATGTGGCAGGAGATGGGCTCTGTGAGAAAAGGGAAACTTCACAGGTGTACAACGTCCCCATGTACCCTAAGTGTACCACCAGATGTCCCCAAAGTGACAACACTTCTGCGAACTGTACCCAGACTGAGCAACAGCACTTCCTACAGCACCAGGCAATTTTTTCCCCAATGGATGTAAAGTTCACATAACATAAAATTTATTGTTTTAAAGTGAACAACTCAGTGACATTTAGTAAACTCACAATGTTCTGCCACGTCTATTTAGCTCCAGATCGCTTTTTTTCTTTTCAAGGTACTGGGAATTGAACCCAGGGCCTCTGCACAGAGCTACATCTCCAACCCTTTTCTTATTTTTAAATTTTGAGACAAGGTCTTGCTAAGTCGCCAAGTTGTCCAAGCTGGGCTCGAATCTGCAATTCTCCTGCCTCGCCCTACCACAGTGCTGCGATTACAGGTGTGGGTCACAAGGCCCAGCTCTAGTTCCAGAACATTTTTATCTCCCCAAAAGGAAACTCATTTGCATCAAGCAGTTGCTCCCCAATTCCTGTCCCCCCAACCCCTGCAATGGCCAAATCGCTTTTCATCCCTACAGATTCACCTTTTCTGGATGTTCCTATAAATGGAATCATGTTCTCGGTGGCCTTTTGTATCTGACTTCTTCCATTTGGCACCATGTTCTTTGAGGTTACCCAGTTGTAGCGTGGATCAGCACCTCATTCCTTGTCATGGCCGAATAATATTGCTCAGCATGGAGACCACATTTTAAAGCTCCATTACCCCTGCTGAACGTGGGGGTGCTTCCCTTTGGGCCACTGTGAGCACTGCCAACAGACAGCCTCTGGCCTGTCTGTGTGTTTTCTGGAAATGGGGCCATCCAGTATGCACTCTTCTGGGCCTGGCTTTCCTTCGATAGCAAGTTCTGAGGAAGCCTGAGTCACTCTGGGGAGACTTGGTAGCTGCCCCTCTAGTCTCCCTGCTGACAGAGAGCAATGGCACCTTCTGTCACTTGCAGCCATGGTTTGGGGGTTCCGATGATTAGACATTTGGTGGGATACCTCATCAGAAGCCCCCACAGTGGGTACCTGGTTAATGTCGGAAGGCGGTGGGGGTGTCACAGTAGAGGGGTGTGGCCCCCAGCCCCGGAGTGCCTGGCCTCACCTGGAAGCCCAGGTCTGTCCCAGATCCCGCTTCAGGAAGCCCCTGTGAGCCTGCTCATGGCAGGTCCTTGTTGGTAATTATTCACTTATGGAGCCAAGTGTTTCTTACCTGGTGCTTCAATTAATTGCTTGTAAACACTCAGAAAAGCCGCCTCCGCCTCCTGACTTCTCTTACTAAGGGCCACCACCTTTGGAAACAAGAGAAAGTGTCACGTGTAGCCACAGCATCTGGGGCTGCAAGCAAATCATTTTCTACCTGCACAAACATGGGATGGGGAAGGGGAAATGAAGGTTACAAGTCTGGCTTCAGAAGATAGGAACTGAGTTCAAAGCCCAGCTCCACTGTGTGTAGGCTGTGTGACCCTGGGTAAGCCACTGTCTCTCTCTGATCCTTAGTATTCTCATCTGTAAAATGGGGAGCACACAATAGGACCTACCTCCTAGGCCTGTTGTGGGGATTAAATGAAGCTGCCTGTAAGTGCTGAACACAGTAGTGGTACAAAGTGGGTTATTAACAGTGATTATTAATTTTCTTCTTATTAAAGGGAATGCTGGAAGTTCAAATACATGTATTTTGGGAGAAACTGGGACATGGCTAGGAATATTTCTTGCTATGGAAAAATGAAAGAGGAATTGAAAGACATCAAACAACTTCAGCAAATGGTGGAATGACAGGGTTATATAAAGATGGCTTCCAGTATACTGAAAGCGCTGGACTGATGCTTCCTAACTGAACAGATGAATGGATGGCAGGATGGCCCAGTGGTGAGGGGCTGTCACTAGAGGGGGCCGTCGTTCTGTTGGTCATGGATCTTCCTTGTTCTGTGATGAGACCCCAGGAGACGCTGGTGACAAGACACATTGTCCTGCGAAGTGCGGACTCTCGAAGGGCCTGGGTGCTGCTGGTAACTGGGGCTCAGCACCGTCTCACACCGACCTCTCAGAGGAAGCCGAGAAAAGAGCTCAACACAGTTTGTTGAGTGCACAAATCCAAGTGGATCGAAGCAGCTCTAGGTCCCGACTGTGACACCATCTTGGGGCTTATCTTTATTCTCACCCGCGGGGGCTCTTTCTGAGTCAGCTCAGGAAGGCGGGTAACTGAGGCACAGGTCCTGGAGTTGGCCATTTGGGTTCACATTCCAGCTCCACCACTTACTATGTCTGTGTCTTTGGGAAGAAAGGTCACTTAAACCTCTGTGCCTCTATTTCCCCATTTGTAAAGTAGAGATCATACAACGATTTCCCTCTAATGGGTGCTGGGGGCATCAAATGATTTAATACACATGAAGCCATTTGAAAAACTCCTGGGATACTTTAGATCGCATAGATTTTTTTACTTCCAAGTATGGCCAATTAATCCCCTCCTTGCCTGGAAGAGTGATAGGTTCTGCAGGTACCAGGGGATTACCTCAGTTGTGTTTGTCCTGGTATCAGGACAGCCTCAGTACTGAGCCTGGGACTCAGCCTCAGCTGAGAAAGGCTCCCCAAACTGCAGTGTATTCTGGGAAGAAGAATTTGAAAACCATAGTGGTTCAATATGGCAGCCACAAGCCACTTCTGGCTACTGAGCACTTGAAATGTAGCCAGTCCGAGTTAAGGTGTGTGGTGAGTGTGAAATACACACAGGATTTAGAAGACTCAGCATGAGAAAAAGATAATACAATAGCTCATCAATATTGTTTTTAATATTGATTACATATCAAAGTGATAATGTGTAATTACTTTTTCTTTTTTTAAAATCACTTTTTCATTTCCTACTGGAAAAAGTAAAATTACATTTGTGTATCACATTATATTTGTTGGACAACACAGTTTGAAGATTTTATAAAGCCTGTGTAGAAGCAGTTTAATTAAGAGAGGTAGAGAGAAATGTATGGCTAGTGTCAAACAAGTGACTTTTAAAAGGTCAGTTACGAAAGTGCCTTAATCTCTCTCATTGCTCTTCAAAGAAGAGTCTCTGGTCTCTGAGCTTCCAGAGAGAGAGAGAGAGAGAGAGAAAGAGGGAGAGAGAGAGACTGACTCTCATTCACTGAGGAAACACTTCCTCAGCACCTGCTATGTGCCCAGCACTGGGTTCGTATGAACCCAGGTATAAATGCTGCAAGACTTGGTCCCCTTATGGGACTGGTCCAGGGGGGAGATTGACATAGTAATGTCCCCAGAGGATTCATTAATTACAAGTGCTAAATGCTTGGGAGGAAAAGTATAGGGGTGCTGGAAGAGGATATAAGTGGGGGGAGGCTGATCCAGTTTGCTCACAGAACATAAGGAATTAACTCCCTGAGAAGGGAAACATGGCAGGAGGAGGGGAAAGTTTAGAAAGAATGTGCTAGAATCAAGGCAAAGGGAAAATCACCAAATGCAGGCAGACTCATTCTTGCTAAGATGGACAAGACAGTTCCTGCTCTGGGTACACCCAGTTAAATGGGAAACACAGCCACACCATTAAGAACCACAATACAGGAAGGGGTCTCCTGGACAGGGTGTGAGGGGAATTAATTCAGAGTCTGAGGGTCACCCACTTAATGTGTATCACATCAGATACTCCTTCTATTCTTTTTTTTTTTTTTTTCTTTTGGTACCGGGGATTGAACTACTCCTTCTATTCTTGATTGTCTGATTCTCTGCTGACATTGTCCTCCTCATGTGGATGAGGAAACTGAGGCTCAGTGAGTTTAAATTCCTTGCCCAAGGTCACCCAGTTAGCAAATGGCAAGGCCAGGATTCACACCAGGTCTGCAAGTTCAGACTAGGGTTCTGAATCCAGATGCCGCCCTTCTGCTCCTGGGTAGAAGAACTACTGCAGCCAGGGACCAGCCACTTGGACCCCGCTTGGATGCTGCTGCCTCCCATGTCCTCTATGGCCTCACGTGATTAGCAGCTGCTGTGCAGCAGACCTGGCCCACAAGGAAGTTGTGAGAAACAAAAGCAACTCCTCTCTCCAGCCCTCCAACAGCTACCCAAGACCAACAGGCACAAAGTCTGAATGCTCCATGTTACAGCCATCCATGCTGAGCACGGGTGGTGACTGGGGCTTGGGGAAAGGCACTCGAAGGTTCCCTTGACTCCTGATAAGGAACTATGAGCTGGGCATGATAGTGCAGGCCCATCATCCCAGCTGAGGCAGGAGGATCACTGCAAGTTTAAAGCCAGTGTGAGTGACATAGTGACACAGTTTCAAGCCACCCTGAGCCACATAGCAAGACTCGGTCTCAAAAGCCAAAAAAACCCCCCAAAACAAAACAAGAACTCTGAAGAGGTTGGGCAAGTGCTGGAAGAGTCTTACTGTCTCCCTGGCCCTGCCCACGGCACCTGCTGCTTTTCCTTCACGGTGCTCATCAGTTGGTGATGGTGTATTATTTCTCTCTGTGACTGTCTCCTCAGAATGTCCACCTTCCCCTGAGAGCTAAGCTGTGCCACACAATGGCCACCAGCCCCTGTGACACCAGTCTCTCCAAATGTGCCCATTCCAAACTGAGATGAGCTGCAAGTTTAAAATATAGGATTTCTTGGGCCGGGGAATTAGCTCAGGGGTCCCGCTGCCTGCCTTGCAAGCTCAAGGACCCGAGTTCAGTCCCCAGTACCAAAAAATAAAAAAAAAATAATAAAAAAAATAAAATAAAATACAGGATTTCTAAGTCTTAGCACAAAAAAGGACTGTAAAAGGTCTCAATACTTTATACTGATTATATGTTGAAATGATAATGTAATGGTCAGATTAGGTTAAATAAAAGATATTATTGAAATTAAACTCATCTGCTTCTTTAACTCTTAACAATATAGCTACTATGCAAACATTTAAGTTACACATGCACCTTGCATTTTGTATCTTCTGTAAAGTGCTAAGCCAATGATCAAGGGTTAGCAAACTATGGCCCTTAGGTCAAATCTGGGCTTTCACCATTTGTATAAATAAAGATTGGGGTGAGGGAGTAATGAGGATTGAGCCCAGGGAGTGTTGCAATTCAAACCCAGCTCTTTTTTATTAACTTATTATAATTTTAAAAATTTTTATTGAGGTTGATCAGCCTGGGTTTGAGTGTGAGATTCTCCTGCCTCAGTCTCCCAGGTGTGCAGTACCATGCTCTGGTGTAAATAAAGCTTTATTGGAACACAGCCACCATCATTCTTTTATATATTGTCTACAGCTTCTTTTTCTTTCCTTTCCTTTCTTCTTTTTCTCCTTTCTTTCTTTCTTTCTTGCACTGAGGTACATACCCAGTTATTTATTTGTTTGCTTTCTTGAGACAGGGTCTCACTGGGTACTTCAGGCTGGTCTTGAACTCACTATTAGCCTAGGCTGGCCTTGAACTCCTGTTGATCCTCCTACCTCAGCCTCCCGAGTGCTGGGATTACAGGCATGTACCATCATGCCTGGGTTTACCCAGCTCTTTAACAAAAAAATTTTTTTTTTTGAGGCAGGATCTCATTAAGTTTCCCAGGCTGGCCTCAAATTTGCAATCTTCCTGCCTCAGCCTTCCAGAATGCTGGGATCGCAAGGGTGTGCCACCATGCCTGGTTCTACGGCTGCTTTTATGCTTATAAGGCAGAGCTGGGTAGTTGTGACAGAGACCCTGTGATCTTCAAGGTTAAAAATACTGATGGGCCTTTACAGAAACAAGTGTGCTGATCCCTGCTTTAGTGCTTCATCTAACAGCTGGACAATATTTTCAGAAGCAGAGATCAAAAACTGTCCCAGAACAGCAGTCGGCTTGGGTCAGCTGGTGTTCAGGCTTCCCACAGTCCGTGTGCCTCTCAAGTACAACAGCAATTTGGAGACCCTGCCTCGCTTGCTCTTGGTTTAGAACAGTGGCCCTGTCTGCTTCTAGATGGCCAGGCCCTGACATTCTTAATTCCACACTCTGACCCAGTTTTGGGATAATGTCACTAAGCACTGTGTAGCCTCGGTTTGTTTTTCCACGAAGGTGGAAGATAACCCCCTGCCTACGAAGGTGTTGGGGCGGAAAGGTGCCCTCTGTGCTGTGGATGTTGGCCAAAGCTTCCTAATGAATCGGACAGTTCTTTTAGCCACAAAGGATGGCTTTCCCAAGGACAGTGACTGCGCATGTCATCTGCACCCGACCAGGTGGGCTCAGCAGAAATAAAAGGCCATGTGGGGCTGCCTCGTGGCTGTGCCCTGTCACGCAGAAAGCCAGAAGAAAAGTGTCCAGAATGACAGGTTTGGCTA